GGCAGGGGGTCGGACTAAATGATCTGTCTACATCCCTTCCGACTCATTGATTCTACAATTCTATGATTCTATGAAGCACAGATGGTGTATTTGTTGCCCTGTGGGGTCAGGCCAACTCTCAAAATTGTGCTGTTAGATGGAAGGGTGTGACACAATTGCACATATACAAACACACAAATCAATTAGGTGCACATACACACACTGCCAACTCAGGCACATATACATCCAAGATTACCAGCCTAGGCAAATGCATACCTATCACTAATTCAAGCACATACACATTACACACACCAAAAATTAGACAACAAACAGTTGTCAATACCCACACACTCAGTACACTTGCACAGATCACTAATTCATATATCATGCACACGATGGCATACATATACATACACACACACCACCTACCTACACATACACACAGGTGAGTTCCTAACTTGGATGGTACGGTGTGTGTACATGTGTGCTTGGGATACCTGGGGGGAAGGTTAAGATGAGAGTGTGAAAGTGTAAGGAGTGAAAGTTGCCTGGACTGGGATTAGAACCGATAGACTAGAGAGAAGCTGGGCTGAGGAACTGAGGCTGAGGTTACTTAAGGTCAAGTGGCCCCAGGGTTACTCAAGGTCACTGGTGCTGGGGTAGAAGCAAGGGAAAAAGCCCAGTGGCAAGGAGGAGACAGCCAGGAAAGAGAGAGGCAGAAGGCTGGGAGATTGGGGTTGGAAACTGAGGCAGAAAGCTGGGAGATCAGGGGGCAGATAAGTGGTGGCAAGGAGGAAACAGGAAACAGACAAAAACCCAACTCAGGGTTTCAGAAGAACAGGTTTATTAAACATACAACACACTACACAGCCCCATGAAGTTATTGGTTCCTACACACACACACACACACACACACACACACACACACACACCCACAAGCACTCACAATGGTAGCAGGAGAAAGAGACTCAGTGGAAAGGTTGGAGTCCAGGTAGGGAAGAGAAACAGAGCCCAAGTCCTTTGCTTGGGGAAGGAAGGTGGGCGATAGCTACCTATCCTGGGCTCTGAATTGATCCTCGATGGCCAGTCGAGGTCTTCTCCAGCAAGGTGTTGTCCAGAGCGGGGTCGCCAGCATGGCCTCTGGGTGGGTAGGTGGTGTGGCATGGTGCCGATCCAGATGTAGAGGGCATCCCCCTGGATCTGTCTTCACTGCCCACTTTTATAGGGGCAGAC